GGGTTGACATGGTGTGGGGTTGTTAACCAATGTCATAAAACAATATGTGTACTACTGTTTCATGAGAAACTATTTGTTCTGTAAGCCTTCACCTGAACTACAATAAAATAAATAAAGAAGTTTGACAGATTCAAATGTTTTGGAGTTTGTGGGTCCATGGACGCTCTATTAAATGAAAAAAGTTAGCCCCAAAAGATTATATACAGCATGAAGTTTTTTTAATAAAATTAAGAACAACTTAAAATTGAAAGTATATAAGCATTTTATCAATGCAATAATGAAAAAGAAATAAGGGGAAATTGAACTCAGGATTTAGGATAATTGTTACCTCACATGGGGGAAGCAGAGGAATGGGTTGGTGGGAAAAGACCGTTTGATGAGAAGCGGGTTATATTCAAGTTCTTAGCCTTTGTTTTGTGTGGTAGGTTTGTGAGGTCTATGTTACATTACTGAAAATAGTTAGATAATCAAAGGACTAGAAAAAAATAAGCCTAAATAGGATGAAATTTCCCAGGTTAAATAGAGATATTCATGCTTACATGGATCTTAGTTTCGTGGTTATCTCTTTTGTTTTGCTTTTCGAGAAGTAGTATTCTAAACAAACCTGAAACAAGTGTTTCGTAGTTGAAACTGATAAAAAATATGTTGATCTAAAATTAACAAACCAGATTTTCTAGGTGGGAGTTCATCTACTGCTAAGTATCATATAACTTTAGAGTGTTTCCTGCATAAATATCTATAGCTATTTCTGCTCTTTCATAGAAATTTTGCATTTTTTTCCCTTTCTTAGGACCAAGTTAAACTATAATCCTCCAAAAGATGATGGATCACCTTATAAGATTGAACTTGAAGGGATATCGGTAATGGTTATGAAAGAGATCCTGGATTACATCTTCAGTGGGCAGGTATGATGAGAAACGAAGGAAGACCTAAGTAGAGGCTACTCAAGCTCAGGGTGAGGGTCTCCTTTCATCCATTATATGGCAAAGTAACACAGTTACTGTCATCCTCATCTTATGTCCTTGTGTGCTTGACTAGGTCTCCTACTGGTAATGGCACCCCAAGTCAGTTCTTCTGGGGCTCTGCTCTTAAAAGAGAAGCAGACTAAGATCCTACACCCAAATCCTGGTTTTTGTTTTGATCTTTCTGAGCTCTACCTTCCAGTATGAGATATGAAGAACATAGTATGCTTTTTTCACTGCTGTCTTTTTGTTTTTATGTCTTGAATCCAATCTTGCTTTGTACCCACACTATTGGGGAACTTGTTCTGTCTCCATAGCATGGAAATAGGCGCTTCCTTGGGCATTGGGGATTACTTCGGTAGAAATAGTTTCCTGTAGCTTGTTCCCAAGAAACGCAGTTCACACCAATGACGGGGCACTCTGTTATATCATGATGCCTCGGTTTTATTCCCACCCCCATTCTTTCTTACTGATTTGCCTTCACTAGGGAGTATAGGGTACTGACTTATATTTTATGGGAGTTAATGATACCCAGGGAAAAATGCAGTAACTGGTTAGATATCTTTCTTTTCCTTAGCCCTCCTCCTACTCCCCCACCCCCAGTATGTGATTTAAAGTATAGCATGAGGATATTCTTAAGAAAAACCATAGGTTTGAGTCAGGGCTAGTTTTTTAAATGGAAGGAAGAGGATAGTATATCTCATATTTGGTTGTGTGGGAATGTATTTGATCTTTATTCTTTTTGAGATCTTGTTCTCTATGCTCTCGTTGATTGCTTCTTCATTGTTCTTGTTTTATCTTCTCCTTTTTGTATGGGAAGTTTGTTTTAGATATTTCCTAAGTATTTGAAGTGTATTGCTTGCTGTCTCTGAATATTTTCATTCTGTCCATAGTCAAACTTAACTGATTGCCATCTCTTTTAGAGTTTTTTGTTTGTTTCATTTCATGCTACTATTCCCTTCTCTTTTCTCAAAATGCTAAATTGTGGATGTGTTGGTGTAAGGGTACAGGCATGTGTGTGATCGTTAGAATAAATGAATTTAAATTAATTTGGGGGCAGCCATTAAGATAACTGGAGATACTCTGTAGCATCACAAAACCAGGCTTAGGACCAGCCTCTTTTCTAACTTCAAAATCAAGCAGTAGTTGTTACTGTAACAAGCAGTTATAAGCCAATAAGAGCATATTCACCTTCAGGCTTGGATTTGAAACTTGAAACCTTATTTGCAGATTAATATCTTTTGTTTCCAATTTAAATTTAAAACCACAGTTGCATCCTGTGTTGTAACAAAATCCTGATTCGGTAATTTGGTTTTAAACCTATTGCCATCAAGTCGACCCCAACTCATAGTGACCCTATAGAACAGAGGAGAATTGCCCTATAGGGTTTCCAAGGAGCAACTGGTGGATTCAAACTGCTGACATTTTGGTTAGCAGCTGAGCTCTTAACCACTACACCATCAGGGTTCCAATTTGGTTTTAGTGAGACGCATTTTAGTGTTTTTCCACGTGCTGATATTTGAATAGTCTACAGCTATTTGCTCTCTTGTGTTTAAATTTAATACGTCATGTAAATGAGAAGTTTTCCCTGTGGCTTACTCAATATACTTCTTTCCAGTTTTGTTGCCCAGTTTCTAAGGTGATTGGCAATTATACTTTTTTTTAATATCTGTGAGAAAAAAATGATAAAAATGTTTCTTGCTGTACTCTACTATAAGTCTCTCCTTTACATTTCTGAGTGTAGGTGAAATACCATACCTGCTCATTCTTTGGGAGAGTCTGGACCATTTGGGATTTTGGGACTATTTCATAGGCCCATTTCTTTATATTACCTTCCTGATGCATGGAAAAACCAACAAGTTGGTAGAGGAAGAAGCATCAATCAAAAAATTGAACAAATCAAGGAAAAAGAAAAGTTCATAGAGTAAGAAAAAAATCTAGCATTATGGATTTATTCCAAAAAGTAGTTGTGAGGCCAAATTGTATCTGTTGCACCACATACCGTGTTTTGGTATTCAATGAGGATTCTGACGCAGTGTAGACCTCTCTTTCCTCCATGGACTTACATTCAGTTCACTGTTCCATTCTCTTACCAAGGCAGAAGAGTGAACTTAGTATATTTGAAGGCAAGATTTTCAGCAGTTCTGGTGCTGGTATTTAAAAAAGTAATTTTCAGTTTATCATAGAGTTCAGAAGTTTCCATTTCCCAAGCATTTCAATTATTTTAAAGTTTTTCTTAGTTAGAAGTGAGCATCATGGACAGTTAGTTCCCCTTAGGAGGGCTGGTGGTAGATAACGTTGACGCAGCACAGGAAGAGCTGGGAAAGCTGACCGGGTCCACGCTGCTTATGTTGTTTGAAGGTACCTTGGTGTACCCTCAGCCTCTTCTTGAAAAAACATATTAGGTTGGACCGTATGAAGTTGCCAGTATTCGATCATCTTTGACCTATCGAAATGGAAACTTCTTATGGTTCAGCCAGTATATCGTTGGTTTGGGTTTTAAACTATATAAATTTAAATATAAAATATTTCTGATACTCTTACAGATCAGGCTAAGTGAAGATACAATCCAAGATGTTGTACAGGCGGCTGATCTGCTACTGCTAACGGACCTTAAAACTCTGTGCTGTGAGTTTTTAGAAGGCTGTATTGCTGCTGAGAACTGTATTGGTATCCGTGACTTTGCACTACATTACTGCCTGCACCATGTGCATTACCTTGCTACAGAATACCTGGAAACTCACTTCCGAGATGTCAGTAGCACAGAAGAATTCCTAGAACTGAGTCCTCAAAAGCTTAAAGAAGTAATTTCTCTTGAGAAGTTAAATGTTGGCAATGAAAGATATGTGTTTGAAGCAGTAATTCGATGGATAGCACATGATACAGAAATAAGAAAGGTATCTACAGTTTATAAGATGATTTTACTTTGTCCTTTTTATTATTTATTTTTTAATATAAATTATGGTATTTTATCTTTGACTTACAAGTTTGTGATCTAAAAGGTATCTGTGAAACATTTTCCTATAGAATTATTAATATGGTTGGTTTTCCAGGCTAGTTCACCAAAGCCCACTTAATTCGTAATATGTTGTTGTTGTTAGGTGCCGTCAAGTTGGTTCTGACTCACAGCAACACTACGTACAACAGAACGAAACACTGCCTGGTCCTTTGCCTTTCTCACGATTGTTGTTACGTTTGAGCCCATTGTTGCAGCCACTGTGTCATGAGGGTCTTCCTCTTTTTTGCTGAAAATATTATACTTGTCGTTTTTAACAGAAGAATGCACACCAAGTTTAAGATGGAGATTATAGAGATGCTGTGCCCCCACCCTTACTTTTAACATCTTGTTCCCCCACATCCTTGGGATAACTCCTACAGGGACTCTAATGGTGGCAGATGGAGCTCTGGCTGTGGGGTGAGAGTCCTTTGTCCAGGGTGTGGGATCTCCCCTGGAGTGCTTAATACCAGGAAAGCACTCTGGAGTTTTTGTGGCAGTGCAGTTCCAAGAGGGACTGTTATCCTGGGAAGGAAAGGTCTTAGAGAATATCAGATTTTAGATCTGGATTGGTTGTACATTGGAGGAGGGAGCAAAAGGGACTTTAAGCCTAATATTTATAAATGAGGGACTAGCTACTATTACTTTATTAAAACTAGGAAAGATGTTAAGTGTTAGAGAGTAGTTTTCAAAATTTATAATTACATTGCTAACTTTTCTTAATAACTATTGACTTATGTTTTAATGATTACCTTCTAGATTTATAATTCTGTAAGCCTATCAGTATGTACATTTAGAAACCATGTTTGTGGTCATAGCATAGTTAGTACAGATAGTGTTCTGTTTTCCATGTGGGTAAATTAGGATAGGAGACAGAGGAGTTTCCATTGCTGCCACTCACCTGAGACCACTATAGGAAACACAGCTTATCGGGTAGCTTCAGCCTTTAACCTCTCCTGCTTTAAAGGGACCAGGATGCTTAAGATCAGCTGGTTGCTGGGGAAATGAGAGGCAGCTCTTTGTCCTTTGATTAGTCTGAACTTTATGCTGTTAAAAAACTATTGACTTTTATTACTCCATGTATGGAAGAGTAGACCTTAAAATAACTCTTAGTCATCTAATGCTGCTACAACAGAAATACAAGTGGATGGCTTAACAAAGAGAAATTTATTTCCTTACAGTAAAGTAGGCTAAAAGTCCAAATTCAGGGTGTCAGCTCCAGGGGAAGGCTTTCTCTCTCTCTTGGCCTTCTCATCAGTGTTCCCCCAGACTAGGAGCTTCTCGGCGCAGGGACCCTGGTCGAAAGGACGCGCTCTGCTTCTGGCACTGTTTTCTTGATGCTATGAGGTCCCCTGTCTCTCTGCTCACTTCTGTCTTTTATATCTCAAGAGATTGCCTCAGGACACAATCCAATCTTGTAGATTGAGTCCTACCTTACTAACACAACTGCCACCCATCCTCCCTCATTAACATCATAGAGGCAGGATTTACAACTCATAGGAAAATCACTCAGTACCAGGAATCATGGCCCAGCCAAACTGACACACACATTTTTTGGGAGACATAATTCAAACCATGACAATGACTGTTTCAGAACCAAGAAAAATATCCTGAATTTATCAATTAATAAACGTTAAAGTTTAAAGAGTGTCACCTTACGTATGTAGAATGCTCAGTTAGTTGATTCAGATTTGATGATAGAGCAGTAAAAGTATACAGGTCATATGATACATGTTAGATAGTGTTGAACAGTACTACAATAGTACTCAGGATTGTTTTGAACTTCGGCTTTTCTATATTTTTCTCATAAGATTAATGTTGAGACATTTTCATTATCTAAGTTTACCATATTGTATTAAGTTTACCATATTGTATTAAGTTTACCATATTGTATCAAGCCATTACTGTATATAATTTTCCTATAAATGTGATTTAATCCATAGTACATTCAAATATGTGAAATAAAGCAAATTATAGCAGAGTTTACTCTTTTCCGTTTGCTTTGGGAACCCTTTACAGTATAAAGAAAGCTGCTTGAAGCTTTGTATTTATACATTAAATATAAATCCAAACTGATGATTTTAAAATATTAAACTTATTTATGAAAGTTGTAGAAAGTAGAAAGAAAAAAGGCCGGAAAAGCATATTCAAACAGTACTGGCACTTACAACTTGCCTGCTAGTAATCTGACTGTTAACAGTTTGTTTTCTATGAGTGGGAAAATGTATATTCTAAAGGTTATGTGTTTCATTGTCCATTTTTTCTCCCCATCTTTTCATCCCTATTCTGCAGGTCCACATGAAGGATGTTATGTCAGCATTATGGGTTTCAGGGTTAGACTCCAGTTATTTACGGGAACAGATGCTGAATGAACCATTAGTACGAGAAATTGTCAAAGAGTGTAGCAATATACCACTCAGCCAGCCACAGCAAGGAGAGGCAATGCTAGCAAATTTCAAACCGCGGGGTTACTCTGAATGTATTGTGACTGTTGGTGGAGAAGAAAGAGTGTAAGTATGGGTGCAAGTTGCTTGAAAAGTGATATAAGGGAGGAGGTATTTCTATGTAAATAAGACTTCATAGTATTTTTCCGTATCTGAAGCATTGATTATTAAATGCTTTAAGTATTCTTTACTAGCAGTAAAACTAGTAATAGTTATTATAAGCAGACTGTAAAACACATTAATTGCTCACCAGTTATGTATTTCCTCAGTTCACGGAAACCAGCAGCAGCGATGCGATGTATGTGCCCTCTTTATGACCCTAATAGGCAGCTTTGGATTGAACTGGCCCCTTTAAGCATGCCAAGAATTAACCATGGAGTTCTCTCAGCAGGTATGGTTCTGTGGCAAATTTTACCTAAACATAAGGTCAAGTAATGTGTAATTTCAGGGTGGTACAGAATGACTCAAAGCCTTTTAAAGATAATGAATTTATTACCTCTACGTGATGACATTTTTAGTGTAGGTCCAGCTTTCAAGACTATGGTAAGAAGTAGTGCCCTATATCTGTCCATATTGTTCCCAAATCTTTCATACATAGCTGTTTTTAAGAATTTAGTAGAGGAGCATTTACTTGACCTAGAAGAACAGAAATCAGTGATTTTTACCACCAATAAGCTGTGTGACCATACCTGGAACTCAAAATTTCTTTGAGCCATGATATCCCCATCTTTGAAATTCGTGCAGTTTAGAATTACAATATGTAATCATATCAAAATAAAAAGTGTTATGTAAAAGCAAGCATTTCATATGAGACTTCAGAAAACATTACTTACGTTAGTGATGGCTTAAAGTTATTTTGTCCCTGGGTAGCACAAATGGTTAACGCACTTAGCTGCTAACCTAAGGTTGGCAGTTTGAAGCCATATAGAGACACCTTTGAAGAAAGGCTTGGTGATCTACTTCTGAAAAATGGGCCAGTGAAAATCCTATGGAACACAGTTCTACTCTGACACACATGGGGTCATCATGAGTCAGGATCAATGTGACGGCAACTGGTAAAAGTTATTTTACTACAGAGAATATGTTTTACTTGACCTTTACAAGTCTGAAAACTGCTCCACAATATTCAAAGCTTTCATATAGGAAGTAATAGAAAAGATTGTAATTGCTGTCTTACCACTATTTGCTGGCTTTCTCTTCACCTCGGACCTGCCCGTTTGGATTCAACCCCACAGTGTCATTTTAGTTGATTCTGTTGTCAGCGGTTCTCCTGGGATCTTTCTTATTTATTTTCTCTGCATTCCTACTAACATTAGCTTTAAAAATTTTAAAGATTTGCCATACCATACCATTGAAATGGCTAAAACGTCACAAAACAATATCTGTATAAATTTTGGGGAGAAAAAGAGCGGTTAGTGAAAAAACCTTTGATTGGTTGTATTTGTGGCGCTTCAATGTTGAGCTCCCATTCGAAGGGATTTAAAATTACGTTTGTCTCTGTTGCTGACTTTCTTGTAACCAGTTAATCACAGACCTCTCAGACCTCTTTGCCACATTGAGGCCAGAGTGGAGATGGCACATGCAGCATGTAAGGAAATCACTGATTATAGGCCAGGGAGTTAGTGTGCTTATACAGTAGGAGTTGTTTAAAGCACTTTGAACATTATTTTATTTGTTTTCAACTGTCCTTTATTCAAGACATTTTTCTCTAGGACCCAGCAAAAGAAAAAAAAAAGAAATGGCTAAAACTATAGAAATGTTATCATTTTATGGACTCCAAAATTATTGAAATTATTTTCAGTGATAAGAGCTGGATGGAGTGGTGTGGCCAATGGGATGTGGGTCTAGTTTCCCGCTTTTATTTTCTCAGAATTAGCTCCCTTAAATTTTCTGCACATAATATTACACACATGCATAATTTTTACCCATTCACACCTATCACAAATGTACCTGCATCATTCATTTTTTAAGATTTCCTAGAAAAGTTGGTATTCTAGAAATTTTAAACAATGAGAAGAGCAGTTGTGTACAGGAGTATTGACTAAATTGTGAAATGTTAGAATAGTTTCTGTTTGTCCAGCCTCTTCTGTATTTCTTTTTTCCTTTCTTGCCTTTAAAAAAAAAAATTGGTTGACTATTTTCCATCATTGAACTTTTTCTTTTCTGTCAGTTGGGAAGTTACATTCTTTTAATGGTTACCTTATAAGCTACTGCGTGCATTCTTTAGTTATCAAAGTCTAAAGTTAATCATTACATTTAGTCTCCTTCAGGACAGTTTGACTATTTTTCATGCTCTATAATCTTACAGTATTAAAATACATGATTATTTATAAATAAATA